AGCCAGGGCAAGACCGACCTGAGGCAGCTGGATAACGTCAGGAACGCCCCGGTTCTTGCTAGTGATTGTTTTTCGGTGGTGCAATCTGATACCGAATGGATTCCGCCAAGGTTCTCGAGAGCCGTCAGACGTGCAAGACAGAAGCCAGAATATAAAAATCCGCTCCCCGTTAGGGGAAAGAAGGAGGTGAAAATTGTTTGTGCACTATGTACGCAGGTCCAGGGTGGCCGAGGGCGGGCAAGCTTGAGCCCAGGCAGTTATGGAAAACGGGTGATAACTGCCGGGGTGCAACAGACTAAACACTCATAGCAAGACCGTGCATCGCACAACCATGCTAGTGATTGTTTTTCGGTGGTGCAATCTGATACCGAATGGATTCCGCCAAGGTTCTCGAGAGCCGTCAGACGTGCAAGACAGAAGCCAGAATATAAACATCCAAACCCTTTGGCATAGTCGAAGTTCTCAGCGCAGCGGTACCCAGACCATTGCCGTACGGAGGTGCGGGAAGGCGTCAACCTTGATGTAGTGCGAGAAAACCTCGAAGCAACGAAAACGCAGCACTGCACATATTACAGGTCGAGTAGAATCTTAGCGAGGAACTTTGCCAGACGATAAGGATATTGGGCGGCCCTTGAGGTCATCGCTTTACCCTCCAAAATCAAATGTTTATGACCAGGACGGAACGAGCAGAAACCATGCTTCCCGTGGCATCTGAGGCGATCCGGGAAATTGATAGCCAGGTTACCGGACTCGGTGGGGCAGCCGATGACGATCCGCGTGGATTTTCTCCAATGAGCACCGAAAGCGCACTGATGCAGGTCTAGAGCCCACGAGTGCGGAAGAACATGAGCAGCCACATTAGCTTGCCGCCACAAGTACGAGCCCATTGGATTCTCCATAGCATAAGGGATCTTGAATTGAACACACAACCGAATGATGTAGACTGCGACAGCTAAACATAAGTTTCCAATCTTTACTGTTTCACGATCATGGGCTCGCAATCGTGGTAGGCCCTGAGGAAACTTGGCACTCCTGACGGGATACCTGTTCCGGGCCAGCGAGAAGGACGCGCACGGAGGCGCAATCATCACAGCACAAAAAACAAAAACAACTTGTGTTCATGTTCCCCAAAAACAAAAACAAAAAAATAAGACACATCAAAAAATCCAAACAAAGCAAAACACCGACAAAACAAACACACACACAAAAAAAAAAAAACACACAACAAAAAACAAAACAAAAGCGCAAGAACAAAAGAACCTACACAAGCACGAATGAGACCACGGCGAAAGTGATCCGCGATGATGCGGAGGTTAGCAGCACTGCACACATCCTGATCAGCGCCCTGCCGAAGGTCTAAGCTGATGGCAGGTATCCCCAGCTTGCGAGCCCACGCGGCGACCCCTCCACCACCGGCGAAGAGATCCAAGAGATACGGAGCCTTCTGCGCCTTGAGCACAGCGCAGGCGGCGGCCCCGCTCAGGCCGTGGGGCGCTGGGATGCTGGAACGGGTGCGGGGCGGCCGTGAAGGATGACATCCTCCAGCACCCTCAGAGCAGCCACGCAGAACGACTTCGTGAGCTCCGACAGGCCTTCCCACGACTCGTTCAGCCTGCCCGCCTTCTCGTAGCGCTTGACCGAGGTGAGTGTGGCCCAGCGCCCGCGCTTCTGGACCTCCTCCTGAGTCCGGCGGTTCGAGGCCCTGTCCAAGCTTGCCCCGGAGTGTCTCCCCTGGTAGGGCACCGCGTCGACCCCGATGTTGTGAGCCGCCCGCCTGAACAGCGCCAGGAACTGCGGGTAGGTCAGGCCGAGCAGCGGCTGAGACGACCCTCGATCGCGAAGGGCCCGGTAGATGTGATGCATCCAGGCCATCCTTCCCGAATCGATCGGGATCGAGTCGTCCGACGACCCCGTCTTGCTGCGCGCCGTGCCGCTCTCCGGGAAGAGGAGCAGCACCCAGTTGTCCACGGCGTGGCTGCAAGGCGGCAAGAACGAGTTCGACGTCAGCCCCAGCATCTCGCCGGGTCGAAGATAGCACTCCACCATGATGAGCACCATCACCCCAGCGAGAGGAGCGCCCAGCCTGGCCATCTCGACCGCGATGCCCGCCCATATCGCGAACACCAAGGGCTTCCGCGATCTTGATGGGCTGAGCCGCTTCCAGCCCTTGAGCGTACGAAGGGCACGCGGCATGTAGAGGCCACCCGACTTCCCATAGTCCGGGTGGAAGAACATCATCGCAGCAATGAGCTTCTCTCCACGCCAGCTCTTGACCCCCTCGAGGAAGAGCTTGTTCATGTACTCGACCAACTTCACGTCCAGCACGGCCGACGCGGGCATGGCTGTCAGCAAGAAGCCTGCCCAGGCACAGAACGCGAGGGCGCACTCTCGGTAGGTCTCCAGCGACCTGGCCCCCACCGAGCGCTTCTCCAAGTAGCTCAGCCCCGTGTTGTGGCCGTGCCTCCAGATGTCGCTGCCGTGGGCCTGGATGGCCCTGCGG